AGCTGATCTATTCAAGGTTGTGAATTCTTATATATGTGTGCAGCACATAACAGTCAAAAACCTGATTGGTTACAATCTTTAATCTAAAGTAGACAAAAAAAAAATGCAACACATTCTTAGAGACACAGAATGCCTGCAGTCATCTAAAACACCAGTAGGTGGCATTTACAATGTATTTAACTCAATCAGGAGCTTCTTTGAATCCCAATCTCCAGATTTGGTGAACTGCCAGTTGTTTTACAACAGTACAGCACAAATATGCTGTTTTGTATGTATGCCAGTGCCTCGGCAGCACAAACGTGAGTCTGAGGTCTCTCAGATCTTTATGTTTCTCAGACAGTGTTTGCCATGTATTATTTAAATACCTAGAAGAGAAATCCTCTCAGGTCTGTCTCTAAATGTTGGAAATGTTTAAAGACTCTCAGACATTAGATGAATGTTGCCTTATTTTTGTATAGGTTACATTTTAATTACATTTATAGGGCTTCACGTAATTTATTCTTTTCACTTCATGTGATTCATGTAACACTGAACTGATAGTGTCATGAAAGGATGCGTTTATTAACTCATCTTGGCTTATTTTTTTATTTTATTTTAAATTTTTTAATTCAATAAATACTTACATAAGTGAGTTTAGGGACATTAATTTGACATTATTTCTTATAGTTTAAGAACATATTCTTTAATTTTAGGATTTACTTCATTTTAATTCATTTTTTGTAATTAATTTTAATGTAGCGTTTATTTTTTAAATACAATTCTCAGTAAAATGTCCTGTAATCCCTTATGTAAGTGGGTGTAGGGACATGAAAGTGGCAAATAATCATGTTAACACAAACTTTTAACATCACGTTAAAACTGAAGGCTGGCAGGCTAGTAGAGTCTGAAAGAACCAGACGGTACCTATTTATAAAATATCTGAAGTTTTATATATATATATATATAGCCTAAATTCACAGACATGTTTCTTTTTTTTTCATTATGATTCAAACTGCGAAATGCCCTTCAGTGTTGGACATGGTAATATCAGCAGTGATCAGATGCCATCCCGATGCAGCACTTATGATGGTGACGAGGTGACACTGTTGCCATGGTGATGGATGTGTCTCTGGGTGAGACCCTTAATGTGGGTCAGTGTCATTATTCTGCGAGCCCCTGGGCCCCTGACCCCGCTGTCCCTCTTTGGGTCCGTCTCTGACTGGACAGTGACGGGGTGTTGAATTTTTAACCTTGAGATGAAATTTCCTCAGTACCAGATGGCATACCTGCGTGTGACGTCACGGATACACTACTGTTCAAAGGTTTGGGGGTCGGTAAGATTTTTTTCAGTGTTTTTGGATGAAGTCTCTTATATGCTCTTCTAAGCTGCATTTATTTGATCAAAAGCACAGTCAAATTTGTAATAGTGTGAAATATTATTGCAAATTAATAGAACTGCTTTCTATGTTAATGCATTTTAAAATGTAATTAATTCCTGATGGCAAAGCTGAATTTTCAGCATCATTACTCCAGTTTTCAGTGTCACATGGTTCTTCAGAAATCATTAGAATATGCCGATTTGCTGCTGAAGAAACATTTCTTATTATTTTCAGTGTTCAAAACAGTTGTGCTGCTTAAAACTTCGATTTAATGTGTCCTTGTTTTAAAAAAAAAATTCTCACCCCAAACTTTTCAGTAGTGTAATTATTATTATTATTATTTTTTAATCAAAGACTTTTTTTTTTTTTTTTAAGTTTCTAAACCACTAACAATAACACAAAGCTGAATTTTCAGCATCATTACTCCAGTTTTCAGTGTCACATGGTTCTTCAGAAATCATTAGAATATGCCGATTTGCTGCTGAAGAAACATTTCTTATTATTTTCAGTGTTCAAAACAGTTGTGCTGCTTAAAACTTCGATTTAATGTGTCCTTGTTTTAAAAAAAAAATCAGTAGTGTAATTATTATTATTTTTTAATCAAATCAATTTTTTAATTTAATTATTTTTTTTTTTTTTAAAGTTTCTAAACCACTAACAATAACACTGAAGTTTTAATTGTCATATCAATTAGAGGAAGCACTATGGGATGTCATGTCAAATTATGCAGTGTCTCTCTGCTGACATTCTGAAATTGCTCTTACATCAAGTGAGCACAATATTCTTATCTTTTATGCATACATTAAGGGTATAGTAATCTAAGTGGGGGAACTTTTAATTAAAATTTAATACCGGTGGAAACAAATCACTATATTCAGTGATTAATTTTTTTTTGCTTCCAGGTTCAAAGTCAGAGGAGCACCTGCACACTAAATAGCTTTACAATATTGCCTACTTTCAGTTGACTGTGATAATGTATTTGTTGACTACAATTTGTTCAAATCAGACTGGAAGGTTTAAGTTCCTGTTTTGTTCCGTTGGTCATTAGCAACCATTTCAATCTCATCATGCCACATTGTGCTTGAACATCGACTTCACTTTTCTGTCTATTGTGTGTTCACAGGCCAGAAGACTACAGGATGAAATGACCGTCATACAGCAGTTTTCCAGATTTTGCATCTCTGAACAGGAGTTTGGGACTTGGAAAGGTTTCTCTTTTTTATATTGTTAATGTGAAATAAATTATGTCTCAAAATAATAAAAATAAATAGTCCGTTTGTCAACTTTTGGTTATGTTTGATATTTAAGCACAAACATATAATATATCTAATATGAGATGAATTTAATAGAGAGGTAGTCAAACAGTGTTTAGTCGTGACTGTGTGATAATAGAGCTCAGATTCTTTGGCCTTTGCTTGTCCCACAAATGGCTTTAGCAGCCTCTCTGAAGCCTGATCCAGCTGTAATTCAACTGCCGCTTCGGTCTTAATTAACTTCATATGGCTCTATAAGCCCTTTCTGATGCTACTTTGGCCCTTCTGCTTAACTCATTGTGTTGGGATGGAAACGAAACGCCCTTGTTAGTCACTGGTGCCTTTTGTGATGTTGGCACCGTCATGTTCCATTGTTATGTAAAGGTAAAATCGAGTTTGCTTGTAAAATGTGATTTTTATGAAGAAGGAACTTCAGAGCATGTTCCATTATTTAAGCTCATTACGCCAAACATGGTTTATTAAAAAGAGAATTTGTTATTTTAAATGTAAAATTAAATTTTTTAATTCATTTTGGGTGACCAATTAGCACACGAAACAGAAAACCACAAAGGCCAGACGAGACATCATCTCGAGTCATTGTAGCAGTACAGTTTTATTGGTTACAAAAACAAATAATAAAGTAAAAATAAATTACTTTGTAGATTCAAAGGTCTGGTGATGAGTCTTTCCACTGGCACCCGCTTCACATGCAGTTCCATTCGTTCTGAAAGGACGGTAGACCACAGGCCTAACTCTAACCATTGAGGTCTCTTTCACAGTGAGAAAAAAACATTGGAAACGGGACCACAGAGACACAGAAGGATGCCATGCTGAGCTCTTCTTTTATAGAAAAACACTTTGGGAGCTTTCACTGCATCCCCTGCTTTACACTTCGTCTTATAAGACCATATGTAAAGGACGTTCACATAAATGTGTGGTAATACAATTACGATCCAGACACAATGTGTGGTGTTACACGGGGTGTTACTATGAAGTACCAGCGGAAAAAATCAGGAGATTAGGTTTGGTTCAATAATGTTTTTTTTTAAGTGTCATTAAGAATTCAGCTTCTCATAAATACCTGCTAGTGATAAGAACATCAAA